AACCATTCATCGAGTGATAGACACTTAGGTTGTTTCTCTATCTTGGCTCTTGTGAATAATGCTACATTGCATCTGGGCGTGCAGATATCTCTTTGAGATAGTGATTTCATTTCCTTCGAATAAATACCCAGAAGTGTGGTTGCTGAATCATATGATAGTTCTATTTTTAATTCCTTGAGAAACTTCCATACTGTTTGGCATAGACACTGTACCAAGTTACATTCCCACCACCAGGACAAAATAATTCCCTCGCCAACACTAAACTCTCTTTTGTCTTTTTGCTGATAGTCATTCCAACAGGTGTGAGGTGATAAGTCATAGTATTTTGATTTGCATTTCCCTGATGATTAGTGATGCTAAACACCTTTTCATGTAACTTTGAACATTTGTACCTCCTCTTTGAAAAACGTCTACTTAGTTCCTCTGTCCATTTTTAAATTGAGTTATTTGTTTTTTGCTGAGTTGTATGAGCTCCCTATATATTTTGGGTATACTAATCCCTTATCAGATATATGATTTGCAAATATTTCCTCCCAATTTGTAGGCTGCCTTTTCATTTTGTTGATGGTCTTCTTTGCTTTGCAGGAGCTTTATAATTTGACGTAGTCTCACTTGTTTATTTTTGCTTTTTTTGGCCTTTGCTTTCAGTGTCAAATCCAAAAAAACATTGCCAAAACCAGTATCAAGGAGCTTACCTTGCCCCACCCCCACAAACCCATTTTCTTACAGTGGTCGGCAAACCACGGCTCGAGAGCCACATGTGGCTCTTTGGCCCCTTCAGTGTGGCTCTTTCACAAAATACCGACTTCTGCGCATGGGCCACCCGCACGCGATATTTTGTGGAAGAGCCACACTGAAGGAGCCAAAGAGCCGCATGTGGCTCGCGAGCTGCAGTTTGCCGACCACGGTTCTAGGAGTTTACAGTTTCAGGTGTTACATTCAAGTCTTCAATTCATTTTGAGTGGATTTTCTTGGTAGGTATAAGATAGGGGTCCAGTTTTATTCCTTTGAATGTAGCTACCCAGTTTTCTTAACATCATTTATTGAAGAGACTATCCTTTTCCCATTGTATATTCTTGGGCCCTTTGTCATAAAAATTAATTGACCATACATGAGTGGGTTTATTTCTGGGCTCTTCATTCTGTTCCAATGATCTGTTTTTTTATACCAGTAACAAACATATTGTTTTAATTACGACAACTTTGTAATACAATTTGAAATCATCGTTCTTCTTAAGGTTGCTTTGGTTATTCAGGTTCTTTTATGGTTCCACACAAATTTTAGTATTGTTTATTTCTATTTCTGTGAAAAATGCCATTGGAATTTTTATAGGAATTACACTGAATCTAGAGGCAGTATGGGCATTTTAACAATATTAATTCTTCCAATCCATGAGCACAGACTATCTTCCCATTTATTTGTATCTTCTTCAGTTTCTTTCATCTTGGTGCATAGATCTTTCATTTCCTTGATTAAACTTATTTCTAAGTGTTTTTTTTAACGTAAATGAGGATTTTAATTTATCTGACAGTTCATTGTTAATAGAAACACAACTGATTTTTGTATATTAATTTTGTATTCTGTGACTTTACTGAATTTATTAGTCCTAACAGTTTTGGGGCAAAGTCTTTAGGGTTTTCTACATACAATTTCATATAATCTACAATTAGAGACAATTTTACTTCTTTTATGATTCGGATGTCTTTCTTTTTCTTATCTAAATGCTCTGGCTAAAACTTCTATATTGAATAAAAGTGACTTGTCCTTGTATTGTTCTGATCTTAGAAGAAATGCTTTCAGTTTTTTACACAGAGTATATTAGTTGTGCCTTCATTATGTTGAGGTATATAGTTTGTTGAGAATCTTTCTCATCAAAGGATGTTGAATTTAATAAAATGCTTTTCCTGCATCTATTGAAATAATTATATAATTTTTATCCTTTGTTTTGTTAATGTGGTGTTATCACACTGATTTGCAGATGCTGAACCATCTTTCCATCCCTGGAATAAATCCCACTAAATCAGTGTATGATCCTTTTAATATACTGTTGAATTCAGTGTGCTACTGTCTTGTTGAGGACTTCTGCATCTATGTTCATCACATATATTGGCTTGTAATTTTCTTTCTTGCAGAGTTCTTGTCTGGCTTTGGTGTCAGGGTAATGCTGGCCTTGTAAAATGGATTTGAAAGTGTTCCCATCTGTTCTATATTTTGGAAGAGTTTGAGAAGAATTGGTATTAATTGTCTTTCTTTTTCTAGTTCCTTAAGGTGTAAAGTTAGGTTATTTGAGACCTTTCTTGTTTCTTAATCTAGGCATTTATTGCTATAAACTTCCCTCTTAAGACTGCTTTTACTAAATTTCAAAAGGCTTGGTATGTTGTGTTTCCATTTTCATTTATCTCAAGATATTTTTTCATTTCTCTTTTGATTTCTTCTTTGACCCACTGTTTGTTCATGGCATGTTGTTTAATCTCCATGTAATTGTGAATTTTCCAGTTTTCTTCTTGTAATTGATTTCTAGTTTCGTATCACTATGGTCAGAGAAGTTGCTTGATATGATTTCAGTCTTCTTAAGTTATTTAGATTTGTTTTGTGGCCTAACATAATCTATTCTGGAGAGTTTTTCATGTGCATTTGAGGAGAAAGTGTATTCAGCTGCTGTCGAATGGTGTGTTCCATAAATGTTAAGTCCACCTGATCTAATGTGTAGTTTAAATCCAACATTTCCTTATTTTCTTCTGTCTGGATGACCTATCTATTGTTGAAAGTAGGGTAGTGAAGTCCCCTACTATTATTGTATTGCTGTCTCTTTCTCCCTTCAGTTCTGTTAATATTGCTTTATATATTTAGGTGCTCCAATGTTGGGTGCATAAATATTTACACATTGTATCCTCTTGATGAATCAACCCCTTTATCATTAGAAATCTGATTCTTAATATTGTGTTCAAAGTCAATTATGTTACAAAATAACCACTTACCTTTAAGAGCTTCACAATGCTTTTTAATTGCTACAGGAGTCAAATGCAAAAAATTGGGGATCTAAAGTAGAAAAATTTAAAGGATAAATCAGCCAACTGTCTTAAAAACATGAAAAAAGATAATTTGCTCATACAACTAAATTATAAGCTCAACAAGCCTTATCATAAATAAAATGAGGCGGTTTCTTACAATATTAATTGTTACAGGTGTTGTGAATTCAAGAAATAAATTCCTGCTTAGCCAGTTTTGCTCAGTGGTTACAGTCTTGGCCTGTGGACTGAAGGATCTCGGATTCAATTCTGGTCAAGGGCACATACCTCCGTTTCAGGTTCAATGCCCGGCCCAGGTCAGGGCACATACAAGATAACCAACGGAGGTGTCTCACATCCATGTTTCTCTCTCTCTATCTCTCCCCCTCCCTTCCACTCTCTAAAAATCAATGGAAAAAACATCCTCAGGTGAAGATTAACCAACAATAACAAAAAAGAAATTCCTTGAAATATAGATTCAATACCAAGTATTTTAAAATGACAACATTCGAAAATATTAGCATCATTTGTATAGTATTCTTCCTGCCATGAATCTACAGATGTACATATTTCCCTTATAGAACTAAAAGGACACAGATTATTATTTAATCACTAGAGGCCCGGTGCACGGGTGGAGTCTCTCTGGGTAGCCTGCAGGAATTGGGCCGAAACCCACAGTCCAACGTCGCCTGCCGCTCCCGCTCCTCTTGGCCCCACTGTGCCTGCCACGTGCTCACACCCAATCAGTCCGGACCGGGAGAGGCTTGAGTTGCCTGCTGCAGCAGCGCTTGCCAGCCATGAGCCCTGCGTCTGGTTCCACCCCCCACCCCCTCCCCCCCGAAAAGGGAATGGAAGGGAGGAGGAGAGACAGAGAGAGAAAAACATCGATGTGAGAGAGACACATCCATTGGTTGCCTCCCATACCCACCCTAACCTGGGGCCAAGGATCCAGCCTGCAGCCTGCAACTAAGGTACGTACCCTTGACCAGAACTGAAGCCAAGATCCTTCAGTCTGTGGGCTGACACTCTATCCACCGAGCCAAACCAGCTAGGGCAGTTACATTAAATGACTAGGATTCTTTTGAGGGTTTTTTGTTTTTTTTTTTACCACAGAAAATCAAAATATAGCATCCATTATTACCTAAGGAAAAATTTTTAAATCAAACACAAGCCCAGCTGGTGTGGCTCAGTGGTTGAGAGTTGACCCATGCACCAAGAGGTCACTGGTTTGATTCCTGTTCAGAGCACATGCCCAGGTTGTAGGCTTGATCCCCAGTGGGAGGCTAAAGTTCCTCTCTCATCAATGCTTCTATCTCTCTCCCTCTCCCCTCCTCTCTCTCTAAAATCAATAAAAACATATTTTTAAAAAACAAAAAAACCCACAAGAAGCTGCTACACACTGAACCTTGAAGTGTAAGAGGTGTAAGGGCAGTGGGAGGAGGATCACTATTTACTTGAACAGAGGTCTTGGCTAATGAATCAGTAACTTCTTACCTTTAAAAGTTCTAAATTTCCCTCCTTTGCCATGGGCACCCCCATTTTTACTGGGTAACCCATTCGAACAGGAAGAGGTACTGCAGAGGGTTTAAATGGTGCTGCAACAGGGTAGACACTAGGCCAGTCCTGGTCAACAGCCATTTTCTCTGTCCTAGGAGGTAGTGCCTAAGAAACAAAAAACAGTTTAATATTTTAAATATAAACACATATTTTAATTTTAAAGCAAAAGAAAACATGCAATTAAGAGAAACACTAGCAGAATTGCAACCTAGGTAAAATCTGACCTTCCACAAAGTTGCTGCTGCTCAAATGAAAAAATACCAAATCTACCTAAATATTTCTGTACTGTTTCCTCAAACTCTCTGGGGCAAGAGGGATATCCCCTTTAATACAATGTCCATCACTAAAAGCATATCTATCTTATGTATTTACATAGACTTTTAGCAAAGTTTTTACATTTTATTTATGAAGGAGGTGAATAACAATATATTTTGAAATCATTTTTAAAACTCCTTTGATGGAAATCAGAATGAGGTGACATTGAGAACTTGGAAATAAGTAAATTAAGGTTAAACTAACTGAATAAATACATAAGAAATTATATACCTTCTAAGCCCAGGGAATAACTACATGGTAGCTTAGTCAATCACAATCTCTCTCTCTCTCTCTCTCTCTCTATATATATATATATATATATATATGTATATATAAAAGCCTAATATGCAAAGTGTCCCCTCGGGAGTTTGACCGACTGGGAGTTCAATTGCTCACTATGATGTGCGCTGACCACCAGGGGACGACACGAATGAAGGCAGGCCCCAGCTGGCAGCCGCTAGGGACCCTACCCGTGTACAAATTTTGTGCACTGAGCCTCTAGTATATAATATACTCAGTAGAAGGGGATGACCAGCATATGGTTTAAAGAGGCAAAATTTGGCAACACCCACCTAAGCAATACTAGTGTAGCAGGTCCTGAAGCAGGTAATATTCCTATGAAAATGACTACTCTAGACAATTATAATTTGATGCCATTTAATGTCCAACTAATATGCCTTTGTTTTGACTCCATGCCAAGTGACTTTATAATTTGGATTCCTCCACAGCGATGCCCACAGAACTGGTAATATTCATGCATACATCCCAGGCTACATGACTATTATAAGCATCATCAAAAGTAATTCTATATTCTGGTTTAGGTACCTATTTCCTGGGAATATGTGGGTGAGTCCATCTCTCAAAGATGATCCGTTCTCAGGATACTGACAAAGACCAGACCAAGACTAGAGTCAAGACTGTGATAGTCACCAAGTGAACACCCCCTTATGAACCTTTCTTGGGATGTACCCTCCTGCCTCATTGTGAATATCTTCCTCACTTTAGAACTTCAGAAACCATTAAGATAATATATATTAGAATATGTTAATTGTTCACCTTTCTTCTTGGTGGCCTTTCAGACCTGGATGTTCTTTCTGTTGTACCTAGAAGACAACACAATAGTTACAGAGAATTTTATAACATGGATTTATTCAACTGATCATGATCCCATGATCTGAATACAATTTAAAGTATTCAGTAACAAACAAAGAAACAATAACCCATTTTCTGTAAGCTGAGACTAAAATCGTGTTAATGAAAATGAAATGTCAGAAATAGTTAAGAAAATTCCAGTTATTAAGATATAAAATGAAATCATCATATAAAGAAAAACTTTCAATTAATTCTAAGGTTCATAGTCAAATAAACTCACTTCCCCAAGTTAAAATATCTAGTTAGAAATAAGTATTTTGTGTCTTTAAAGATAAATGGTTTGAAAGGTTCTAGTTTTAAGTATACCTGCTCATATTTGGAATTATTCTGGTCTTTCTACCAACAACAACAACAACAACAAAAATTGTTAAATTTTTCCTTTTCTATTACATATTAGAACTGCCAATGCTACAATAACGAAAATCACAGCCATTCCTAATTAAATCACAGAACTGTAGAAGAGGGCAGATTACTTATATACAATATATACCTTTTAAAATATTATTGTATGCCTCTCTAAATAACTGTTTTGCTATTCTAAAATAATAATAGTTTTATTTATTGAGCACTTGCACATGCTAGATGCTGTGCTAAATGCTTTTCATTACCTTATTTAATCTTATTCTTCACAAGAACTGTGAGTACTATCACTATCCTTATCTAGAAGTCATTTACGGCCAAGAAAACTAAGGACCAAGAGTTGTGAGATTAGCACAGCTCACAAGACTCTTCAGACTCTGAACCTCACACCACGTTCTTCACATCTCTAGCCTCATTCCCCTTCACAAGGCCCCACAACTACACTGAACTTCCCTTCAGTCTTTCTGAACTTTATGTTCTCTGCCTGGAATATGCTTCCCTCCAATCTGCTTGACTTCTGTCCCCTTCGGCCTCCCCACCTCAATTCATGTAAAATTCTTATTCATCCCTCAGTGATATATATCCCTCATCCCTTCAAAAGTTTTAGAGTGATATTGGGTACTAGAAATTAAGAAGGCAGCAAAGAACAAGAGAAACAAAGTTCTTACTCCCACAAAATGGAGAGTCTGTCAAAATAAGACAACTATTTCACAAGTAATTTCAATAAATAAACAATGATAAATATTAATGGAAACATACAGCAGGGGACCAAACCTAGTCAAATAGTTGGGGAAGAAGAAGTTCCCTGAAGAAGTTGACTTTAAGCTAAACCTCAAGGATGAACAGGAGGTAGCCCTGGGAACCGGCAAGTGAGAAAAAGTGTTCTAGAGAAAGAGAAGATGGAAATCAAAGTAAACAAATTTAATATGGTGGAAACTTCAGAGCAGAACAGAGAGTGCACTGAGAAAAGAGACTGGAGACATTTGATAGCATCTCAGATACAACACGTCATTGGCAGAGCTCTAGATTTTCTTCTTCAGTCTTCCCAATCCCTGTACATGGTATTGCCATTCATCCAATTATTCAGGACAAAAATCTAACATGCTTCCTGGAGACTGTTCCTCAAGCCCCATATCAAATCCACCAATAAGTCCCATTAATTCTACCTTCAAAATGTGTCCCAAATTCAACCATAACAGCCTACTCCACAATTACCTCAACCCAAATCACCATCATCTCATTTGTACTACAACTTCCAAACTGGTCTGCTGAGTTCCACTCTTTCCCTCCTGAAGTTCGCTCTCCACACAGCATCACTTCCCTGCTTAACATCTTCCAGTGTGACCCCAACTTAAAATATAAGCCAAGCCAAATGCCCATAAGCCGTTACAAGATCAGGCCATCACTCCCCTTTCTTATACTAGAACTCCCCTTTGCTCACCTAGCTCCAGCCACGCTGGCCTTTTCTCTGTTCCTTGACCACACCCATAGGCTTATTCTCACTTCTGGGCCTCTGGACTAGCAATTCCCAGCGCCAACAATGCTCTTTCCCCACCTCAGCATGGTTCTGGGCTCTGCTCAAATGTCACTTCCCCAAGGAGGGGAGGTCTTTCCAGACTACCTACCTTATCCGACCCTATAGTCATTACTCCTCCAATTCATCATTCCCAACAGTCTGCTTTCTTTTTCTTCAAAGCACTAATCACTACCTTACATGGTGCTGACATTGTTTATTTATAGTCTGACTTGCCTCAAAGTATGTAAACTTCAAGAGGTAAAGGACTTTTGCTCTATCCTGGTATCTAGAATATCGCCTAGTACACAGTAGGAATCAAATATTTATAGAATGAATGAAAAATTAAAAAGACGTGTTAAGCCCTAACCGGTTTGGCTCAGTGGATAGAGTCCCAGGTTCGATTCCGGCCAAGGGCATGTACCTTGGTTGCAGGCACATCCCCAGTAGGGGGTGTACAGGAGGCAGCTGATCGATGTTTCTCTCTCATCGATGTTTCTAACTCTCTATCCCTCTCCCTTCTTCTCTGTAAAAAAAAATCAATAAATATTTTTTTTAAAAAAAGACATGTTAAGACTATTAAGGGCCAATAGGATACAGTGAGGAATTTATCATTTATCTTAAAGCAATGAGAATTGTTTGTAGATTTTGAATAAGGAAGTGGCAAGATAAGATTTGCTATTTCAGTGGTTCTCAACCTTGGCTGCACATTAGAATCACCTGGGACTCTTTTTAAAATCCTGATTTCTGGGCCTCATCCTCCGGAAATTCTGTTTCTTTGTTATGGGGTGGGGCCACAAAGGCAGCAGCAGGCAAGCAAGCTACCAAGGACAGGGGTGTAAGAGTGAGCACCTCCTGCCAACCCAGAACTTCTTGGGTGGGGCCACAACATTAGTAACAAAGAAAACAGAATTTCCGGAGGATGAGGCCCAGAAATCAGGATTTTAAAAAGATTTCCAGGTGATTCTAATGTGCAGCCAAGGTTGAGAACCACTGTTTTGAACACCTCACTCTGGCCGTTGTGAGAATTCAATGCAGGGAGCAACGGCGGAAATGGTAAAGCAACTGTTGCAGAAGCGAGAGATGGTGGCCTCGGCGGGGCTGTGAGCAGGGTTAAGGTCAGATCTTCCAGGAGGCAGCACGGGCAGCACCTGGTGTCACTGGACAGAGCTGTCCTCCCCTCCCGCGGGCTCCGCCCCGATGCTCCTACCGAACCCCATTCTCGCTTCTTGTTAGGCACCCCACACTGAGCAGTCAGCGTTCACAAAAGTCCTCGATTCCTTTTCACTGATTCCTCCAGGGCGGGCGCGGCGCCAGGCACCCCTCCTCTCTCTGAGCGAAGGTCACCTCCATGGCTGTGAATGAAGGTCATCCCATTTGGCGGCATGGCGAGGCCTGGGTTCAGAGCTGCAGTTTGTCCTGGGGCAGCTACATGTTCCCCTTAACGCTCGAGAAAACCGAGGTTCAGCACCCCCTGGAAACGCTGCCGAGCACCGTCACTAGAGACCCGTGCCGGCGACCGCGGGACCGGCACCGAAGCGCGGGTCCCCGGGAGAG